ATATATATATATATATATATATATATATATATATATATATATATGTACATATATATATAATGAGTATATGAACTATGATTGCAGTTGAGACAGAACGTCATTTTTTCCTCAAGTGCTTCCAAAGCTGACGTCTGAACATTGCGCTCATGTTCCGTCATCATGTATCAAAGAAATATGTGCAAAATTCACGATTTAGGTGTGATACCTTAGATTCTAATATCGCTAAGGGAATTACAGATCTATCATGAGTTTGAGGACTGTGGCTGCAGATGGAATCTCCCAGAAGTTTCTTTTTTTTAATGGTTTTGATATGCTGCTGCTCCAAAACAATCTTTTTCTGCTCGTTGTTGAATTCATCATCACTTTCATTCTACGACGGAGCTTTAGGGCCACGCTAAGCCATAAAATTACAAGAATAAAGTCGAATGGTCTTAATATTACAAGAATAAAGTCGTACGAGACTATTTTATTAAAGCTCTCGTTTGTTTTTCCACGACGCGACCTGTCAATCAATCCAGTAGGCGTGTCAGTAAATGACCAATCCGAAGCTAAATGCTCCTTACCTGCAGAGAGCTGCTGCAACCCACAACGTACCACCTTACTGTAAGCAGGTTCAAAGTCCTGATGCTGATAATAATCTGATGCTGATGCGCTAACAGATTAACAATCTCCTTATTTGTAAAACCAATACAGAAATTTAACTAAACATGCTCAACATTCTTCATTTTATCACAGTTAAAATGTGGTAAACCGTTTTATCATGTTGGAGTTTGGATAATATTAACTCATTCAGCTTCGGATTGGTCATTTGCTGACACACCTACTGGATTGATTGACAGGTCGCGTCGTGGATCCGACTCGTGGAAAAAATAAATAAATTTGAGTTGCAAAAAAAAAAAGTCGCGTACAACTTTATTCTCATAATATTAAGACTTTATTTGACTTTATTCTCGTAATTTTATGGCTTTTAATTTATTTTTTTTTGCGTGGCCCTAAAGCTCCGTTGTACATCCCCTTCATTCAACACAAAGAAGCAAACACAAACAGTGGGTTAAGTAGAGGCATCAACAAATGTGTCTAGTCTTTATAGATCTACAGGCACAAGAGATTGGGTAAGAGAGTTTGTTCACGTCAGACTAGACACAATTTGATATGACAAAAAAAAAAAAAAAATTGTAAGTGCGCCAGTCAAACACTCCCAAAGACTTGGAAGGTTTAACATGCACCTTCTATCCTCCAGCGGCACCTTTTGAACCCTCCTCCTCGAGAAGAGGACTTGTTTCAAATCCTGGCTCGGTCGGAATCGGCCTTCTTAAAACCATGGAACAACATGAAGACAAATGTGTGTCTGTAGTGATGAGATCGCCTGTGACACTGGAGGTCATGTGCTGTGTTACAGTGTGTGAAGAGAAGCACTGCGGGGTCTTGATCGTCCTCGTCTCTGATGCTGGGAGCGCTCATCAGCAGCAGCACATGCGCTGGGGCTATACTACTGTTCCACTCGGGGAGTTGGCTGGGTTGTTTTGAGAGGACAGTAATCCCTGCGGAAAAATAGACAACGCATACGTTGATAAACATAGTGGTTTAAAAATGTAATACAAGAAGCAGCTCAGTAAGGCCATGAGGTTTACTGGCAGAGAAAATGCTAAAATAATCAAAAGTCTAAAGCCTCCGAATGTGTTCATTCAAAGCAGTGTCGAGTGTCGTCACATGACAGAGTCTTCAAGAGGTTAGTCACTCACCACTTTCCCAGGCCTGGCCCATGTGCAAACAAAACCCTCCTGACAAGCTGTTACCAGACAGTCCTCCAGGAAGATTAACACAGTGAGTCTCTCGTGAGCAATCTTCTTGCACACCAGTGGTTCTAAAAGCGGCACTTCCTCCATGCGAGGGCACTGTGTCGTACCCAGAGTCTTAGCTGCCTCTGCTTTCGCCGTTCGTGAAGAGCTGAGCTGGTTGAGCTTGTCGCTGCTCTTGTTGCTGATCTGACCCAAACTGAAGTTCCGCTTGTGGTCCTTCTCGTGGCGCTCCTTCCGCGAGTCGTGCAAAGACAGCGATGCGAACTTGCTGACGCTGTTGGCGATGAAAGCGCCGTCCATGATGTGGATCCCCTTGGTGCTGCTGCCGCTGCTGCTGCAGCTGCTGCCCGTGTGGCTGTTGGGTGTGCTGCCCCCTGCCGGGTTGGACGAGTGAGGCAAGCTATTGGACCGAGGCAGAGTGCCAGGGAGGGAGTTAGCTGGGTTGCCGCTGCAGCTACTATTGCTCACGTTGTCTTTGCCGTTGGTGCCGCTTGAATTGGTGGTGGTTGTGGTGATTGATACAGTAGTTATTGTTTGTTCAGTGGCTGGAGAGCTTGAGGCATTCATAACATTAGTGTGAGTCCTCGTGCGAGACAAAGGGAGGTGTGGGAAAAGAATGTCTTCTGTTAGATCCCACAGGCATAGCTGAGTATCCTGCCCCACTGAGCCAAACCTGTAGGTCACACTGACAGGCCTACTGTCCGTAGAGTTTCTTTTAGAGAGCCGAGAGTGAGAGCTGTTGGCTCTTTCTCTGCCTGCCCCAAAATGAATCTGCTCATGGAAGTCCTCATCACTCCCACTGAACTCAGCAGGCGGATCTCCATCCTCAACACTGGTAGTGCAGTGGTCAAACGCCACCACGCTCACCCACGACTTATGACCATGTCCCCGTGCAATTACTTTGCAATCCAAGAATGACCACACAGTCACTAAGTCGTCCTCCCCTCCTGCCACAATATACTGCCCATCAGGGCTCCAGCACACACACAGTAAGCCACCAAAGTAGCTCTTCATCGTTCCGTGGAGCTCTGCAGCATCAAAGCCGAACACTCGCAGAAAGCCATCTTGGCTTGCACAGGCCAGAAACTTGCCATCTGGGGAGAAGGCAAACTCGTTGAGCGCCCCTTCGCCCACGGTCCAACGCAGCAGCGGGTTACGAGCAGACTTGCTCTTGCAAGTGTGCACAGCATAGTTTTCACCCTGCTTGAGGAGCTGGTAGTGAGGTGCCGTGGTGCCGCAGGTGTTTTCCATGTTGTACAAGTACATGCTGCCACTGGAGTGGGCCACCAGAAACAGGTTCTCGGAACCTGGAACCCATCGTACACACGTTACTCTTGATTTGTCAATAAGTCTCTGGAAGAAGAAAAAACAAAATGAGCAGGGAGCCCAAGTATTAGCCACATGCATTTTATTCTGTACTGGTAGTTGATTTAGTGAACTATTACATAAAATTAATAAACACCCAGGTCAGTTTCAAGAGTTTCAGGCTGTGTCCAGTAGGCTTTCCACAGAACAAAGTTGACTGGAACCCACCTCCTCATTGAAGAGCTTGCTGGTTTCCTTCTTGATTGGGTCTATAAGTTGCACCTGGCCTGCTGAGAAGCCCACCAGCAGGGAGACGCTCTCTGCTGTCGCTGTGAGGGGGTTGAAGTCATGACATGTAGGCTGTGTGCCTTTGTAGATCCTCTTGTCTATGGGCTTACTCAGATCAGCAGCCTAGGATGACAACAAATGCACAGCATGAGTCATTGCCAGCACTTTGACTGTGAGATGATATATACTTTGTGGCATGTTATTTAGAAACCAGACAAGGATAAATATGCTAAATTGTTGAAAATGTGACATTTTAGGCAATCGTCTAAAATCTATATTGCTTTCCAAAATATGACATCATTTAATGAGTTAGATCTCTTACTGATTCAACCAAATCTCAGCCATGTAAATCTAAAACTGACTTATTTGCTGAAATGTTTTCTTTTAACCAGTGTAAAATCTAGCCTTCCTCCAATCGTTAGTGTGTACCCTCATGCTACATCAAGTCCTAATGAGTTAACAGGAGGACTGTGTTGTCTGATCTGCAGCTCCTTCAACTTAAACGTTAAAATTTTTATGAGCAAGATACACGAGCCCAGATTAACCTCAAACATCCAACCAGCAGCGAGTAATGTGTAAAAATAGATTAAAAAGATTAAGCTTTAAGTAAATATTCACATCACATCTTAATGTACATTTTTCCTTATAATTAGTAGGCCTGTCATGATAAATTTTGCTGGGCGATTGTCTCAGAAATTATTGCGATAAACGATAATATTGTTCGAAATTTGACAATAATTAGTCATTATTGTCAAATTTATGAAGAAATGTTGGTTAATTTGTTTTACGTGTAGTACCTTTTTTCGACCAGCCGATGGCAGTATAAGACTGTTTGAACCGAAGGATGAATAGTGAGAGAGCGAGCAGCGTGTTTCTTTAAGAAAAATGGGAGGGAGACCCCTTGACGTGATATGGGCTGTTTCTCTTTCCTTTATTATTATCATTATTATTATTCGGTTCTCAAAATGATAGATGCTCGGTTTGGTTTGAGCTCTTTATGCTCTTTGAGCATGTTTTCACACAAAGCTTTTAATAAAAAAATCTGTCAACAAGTTCTCAGCTTCTTTATTCAGAGAAAAACAACTTTTTACATAAACGCACAGATTTCAACCATGAATTTGGGAGTTTCGACAAGACAGAGGTTTTTTCCCCAAGGTCAGTCTGTTAGCTTAGCTCGTAGCTTAGCTTCTCAGCTTAGCTGTTTTTAACGATCCAAAAACGCAATTTTGGATCGTTATAAAGGATTTTAAAGAGAAAAGAGAAAGGGAGGGGTCAGTGAAGAGCACCGGAGTTGAGCCTTTTGTCATCCAGTGTCTTCAGTAGAAAGAGAGAGACACGAAGAAACGATAAAGCCAATGAATGAAAATGAGGTCGATAATTTTCATTTATCATGCGATTAATTGATTTATTGTTTGTTGGGACAGGCCTAATAATTAGTCAGATTTGTAAGTGGAAACTATCCCACAGTCTCCATGGGTTGCTATAGAATGGGTGTCCAATACATCGATCTGACGTAATTGTGATCAAGCAGACTGCAGCTGAGCTGGCATCAGGGTTGCCAATTAAATTTAAAATGACTTATTTACCTCCTCCTTTTCTGTGCAAATGTTTATCTTAGAATATATTTACTCAGCATATATGAAAGTTTAGGTCAAAATATTATCATTTTAAAGTGACAGTACTATAGTCCATAATTTCTTATCGGGCAACCCGACTGATATGGAAACTGTGTTTGTGTGTAAACCCGTTCAGTTTCTGTTTATTATCTCCAATAAATATTAAAAAATACTAATGTTTCCAGAGGTTGTTCTCATGTAAACGGGGCCTTATAGTAGGTAAATTACTTTGACTTGGTCATTTTAAAAGTAGCTCGCATGCTGAAAAAGTCTGGGCACCCCTGCTATAGAGGATGTATATAAATATACTCGTAATGTCATTGGCAGGTGAAAAGTTCTAGATTTTCATGGAAGTGCCAGCGTCTGGTCACAGACTTGTTCTTCATTGCCCTCTGCTTGTAGCAGCAAAACATGTTTGCCCAGGACTGACAGTCATCCATGGGCTAGGAGTTGGGGTTAGAATTTACCGTTTTGATGCATTGTGATGCAGACAAACGATTTTAAAATGATTTAAAAATGTCAAAAATTGATTAGTATTAATGGGTATTTTAGTCATGTTGAGGAATGAAAACGGCAGAACTCAGAAATGTGTAAGTGCATGCCTGGACAATTTATGACTTGAACACAACAGAGGAAGGAGGAGGCTGACCGAGACTTGAAACAGCTCCTGCTGCAAGAACAGTCAGTGTCTGGAAGTGCTTGCGTTCAGGGCTTAATTAGAGTCTAATCCTGCCGGAACAAGATCTGGGAACTCTCTTATTTTTACAGGGTGCGTTCCAGAAACTGTTTGGATCCATCAACTCAAATCTCCGCCCCTATAAGTCCAAAGTCATTGCGAATTTTTATTAAAAAACAAAAAATATATAATTAAACAGCACAAGTAAATTGCAAACCTGTTCGACAGTTTATGTGGGTTATTAATAATTTTTTTCATTATTTATTAAAAACACAACGAGAGGAGACATTGCCCATGGCCCGGCAGACCCAGGCTGTGGAGTGGATGTTCCGGATGCAGCACATGCACCAGCTATCGCACACACTCCTACCCAGCAGAGACACGGACGGGATGTCCCGCGGGGATGAAGTGTCTTCATCCAACACCTTCAGCGGCGCGCCCTACAGACAGTGCACGTTATGGAGCGTCTCCAGACAACTCTACAGAGCACGCACACAACTGCTGATGTGTCGGAACGCCCACATACATTTCAGACATAATAAATAAAAAAGTTAGTTAAAAAAAAAAAAGAGAAATGCTTGATGTGTTATTCACATTCATATTCACGTTTAAAACAACGGTGCTAACTTGTCAAAATAACAGCGATCAAAATGTCAAAAAGGCAGTCCAGTTTACTTTCATAAAATAAATGGATGGATGGACTGTCCTTAGTTGCACAACCTTAGTGGTAATTGAGATTAGAGCAGCAGAAGCAACGACATGCAGGACTGAATTTAGCGGAGAAGAGTTTGGCTCGAAACCATGAAGTGTGAGTGTGTGTGTTGGGGGGGGGGGGGGGGGGGTGTAGGACACTTGACAGAATCGGAGCTGATCTATTCACGCACAAACTTTCTAAAATAGTAATTTAATCAAGTGTTCATAAATGTAGGTAGGTAAACATAGATGTTCAACAGCCTGTTAAAATACACCAAAATGCAGGAAATGGCATCTACTTTATTCAACATTTTCTTGGGGAGGGCCCACAGACACCCCCCCACCCCTCAATTTACGTTCCGGCATCGACCGGTTTACACATTAAGCCGTGAGGACTTCTATGACATTAAAGAGAAAAATTATGTTGAAAAGAGCCACACTTGATTCAAATTGTGTACATGGTTTTTTTTCCAACTTTCACACCGTGCCCCATCGAGGACACAGTGTGAGATATGATTGTTTTTACACCTCCTCTTGCTTCGTGTTCCTCTTTTCCTTTTCTAAATGAAAAGGGCAGTGCCTCCCACGAGGCTGCAGCCTCAGACACCTCCGTCTACCCATGTCTGTTCGTTTGTGTTTTACTTGGACGGGCTGAACTGAAATGTAATTTTGTTGTGCTTCAGTGTAATGACAAGAGTCAGCCTCCCCACCATCACAAATATCTACACCTCCAGATGCAGGAAGAGGGCCACCTGCATCATGACGGACCACACTCACCCAGCACACACACTTTTTACCCCGCTCCCCTCAGGAAGGAGGTTAAGGAGCATTAAGTGTAGAACCACTAGACTGATGAACAGCTTCTACCCTGAGACTGTTAGACTCATAAATCTCTAATCAGGATACACAAAGTTTGTTTTCTCAGTCTTCCAGGTATATAACAACAAAAAGGGTTGAATCATGTCATCTGGACTTCGTTTTTTTTGTTAAAAAGAAACATTTCGCCCCTCATCCAAGAGGCTTCGTCAGTCTGAGGCCTAGACATC